GTATAATTACACTGTAACAAGGACATCTTAAAATAAAGTGTAACTTTTTTTTTATTAGATTTTTTTTATTACACTTAAATATTGAAATGGTAATTTTTCATATTTTGTTTAATGTTTTTATTTAGTAACAATAAAAAAATAATAATCATTATTAATAGTATTATTTTTTATTTAATAGTCATATTGATGTATAATAACAAAAATGACAAATTTAGCAGCCAAGCACAGCAAACCTGGAATTTTATTTATTTTTTTATCAGAAAAATCACTTTTTTTTGGACTCCATCCACCCCTCCAAAAAAAAGTGTACTGCCCTAATGTCAAGACTTTTAAAAGTTTAACAGAAACATTTTCATTCTTTATTTTTGCTTCCATTTCTTCTCTCCTTGTCTTCTTCACTTCCTCCTGTCCTGCTCTAAGACACCTTGTGTGAGGAGGGAAAGTTGGCTCTGGAGCAGTTGTTAAAGTTTATGGTGCACCCTGCCATCTCCAGCATTAATCTCACCACTGCACTTGGATCACTGGCTACGCTGGCCAGACAGCGGCCCATGTTCATGTCTGAGGTGGTGCAGGCATATGAGACGCTACATGGTGAGTTCCCTCCGCTGACATTATTCAGAGTCAAACACAAATCTACTAGTTTCTTTTTTTGTTTTGCTCCCCAGCTAACTTGCCCCCGACTCTGGCTAAGTCTCAAGTGAGCAGTGTGCGCAAGAACCTGAAGCTGCATTTGGTTTCGGTGCTGAAGCACCCCAGCAGCGTGGACTTCCAGGGCCAGATTTCCACTCTGCTGCTGGATCTTGGTATGTCTCAGAGCGAGATCACCCGCTGCACGCCAGCCACGGTACAGCCCCGTAAGAGACTCCACCATGAGCCCTATGTCGAGGGCAAGAGGATCAAGATGGGTGAGTTGCTGTTACTGTTTTAATGAGCTGGGTGGGTCATTGTTGTGGGTCAGTTGTTGGCATTGATTGATTGATGAGGAATAATGCCTTGTTTGTGCTTGCAGAGGCCACTCTAGTGGAGGATGATGATGATAAGGAAGAACCAGCTCCAGTCATCACCCCAAAACCATCCTCCTCTGCTGGCACCCAATCATCCATCGATCTCACTGCTGAGTTCCTGTTGCCTCTGCTAAACCCAGAGAATGTGGCCAACCTGGTGTGTACTATGCTGAAATAATAATAATAATACATTTTAATAATTAATAAACGGTTTAATTTTTTTAACATTTTAAACTATTTATAAAAAATGAAGACAAAAATATTATTTCAAATTAAAAATATTTTAAAATGTAAAACATTCATATTTAATAATTATAGTATTGTATTTTGCTCTATAACTTACAATGCAAATATGTCTCAAATTCTTAATTTACAAGAATTAAAAAGCCTAAAGCTTTATTTTGGTGGAAAACTGCAGGGATATCTTTAAGTATATTTAGTTGATGCTTCTCGCTATAAATATGGTAAAATGCTAAAAACATAGGCACTAAAAAATTATAAAAATGTGAAGATAAAAGGATCCTAGTGCATGTTTCTAAATGCAACAACAGGGTTTGTGTGGAATAGATTTTTCTGCAAACCGAGTCACTCCGAGACACTGAAAACACAGGAAGAGTGTAAATGAACACAGTGCAATGCTTTAATCTCAGACAGGCAGCAGGAAAAAAAAACGAAATCAGTATTTTTTATTTTATTTTATATCTGCAATTTAAATTTTATTTGTATTAATCGTGCAGTCCTTTGCGTTCATTTATTTTAATTAAAATTTTTCATTT